AAACACACACACACACACACACACACACACACACACACACACACACAGAGCAAATCACCTAATGTGGAATATCAAGCTTTTAGAAAAAGATTAAAAAAAAAAAAAAGAGCAAGTTAAACCCAAAATACATCAGTTACGGTAATAGCAAATACATCTGTAATCCTAGCATTTGGGAGGCTGAAGCAACAGGACTGCCCCAATTTTAAGGCCAGCCTAGACTATGTAGTAAAACCCTGTTTCAAAAAAAAAAAAAAAAAAAAAAAAAAACCCAAACCCAAACCACATATGAAGGAGGAAATTGTAAAGATCAGAGCAGAAATTAATGCAACTGAGACTTAAAAAACAATACAAACAATCAATGAATCAAAGAGCTGGTTTTTTGAAAGATTAAATAACAAACCTTTAGCCAACCTTATCAAAAAATGAGGGAAAAAAGACCCAAATCCATGTAATTATGAATGAAAAAGGCAAAAGCACAACAGATCCCACAGAAGATCATAAATACCTACTTTGAGAACCTATATTTTAACTAGATGAAAAATTCAGAAGAAATGGACAGATTCCTAGATACATATAATTACCAAAACAGAAATCAAGAAGATATAAAAATTCTAAAGAACCCAATATCAGTTAATGAAACTGAAGAAGTAATTTAAAAAAACTACCAGCAGATACCAGGCATGGTGGCACACACCTGTAATTCTAGCACTCAGAAGACTGAATGTAGGAGAACCACCTATATATAGTTCAAGGCTGGCCTGGGCTGTAGTGAGTACAAGGCCAACCTGGACTACATAGGGAAACCCTTTGTCAAAAAAATAAAAAGAATCTAGGCTGGTTCCATATCTTGGCTATCGTGAATTATGCCACAATAAACATGGATATGCAGGTACCCATAAAAATAAACAAACAAACAGAAATAAATAAAAACAAAACAAAAAAACTGCCAACAAAGAAAAGCCCAGGTGCTGATGGATTAACTGCTGAATTCTACAAAAACTTTATAGAGATCAAATGCCCTGATTCCTCAAACTCTTTAATGAAATTTAAAGGGAAGCCATATTCCCAAACTCATTCCTGGAAGCAAGCATTACTCTGATACCAAAACTAGAGAGATCCAACCAAAGAAAGAGAACTATAGGCCAATCTCATTAATGAACATACATGCAGGGGCTGGAGGTTTAGCTCAGCGGCATAAGCGCCTGCCTTGCAAGCAGGCAGTCGTGAGTTCGATCCCTGGTACTGATAAAAAGGAAAAAAGACAAAAAAAAAAAAAAAAAATGAACATATATGCAAAAATCCTTAATAAGATACTGGCAAACAGAATACAGCAAATCATCAAAAAGATTATATACCATGGGTCAGGGATACAGTTCAGTGACATAAATGCCTGTCTGGCAAGTTTGAGGTCCTGAGTTCAATTCCCAGTACCAAAAAAAAAAAAAAAAAAATTATACACTGTGACCAAGTAAGATTCATTCCAGGGATGCAGTGATGGTTCAACATATACAAATCAATAAATATAATACACTACACATTAACAAAACCAAGAACAAAAACCACATGATCATCTCAACACAGAAAAAGCATTTTGATAAAGTCCAATACTCATTCCACAGGATAAAAAAACCATACAGAAAATTGGAATAGAAGATCTTTCTCTCAATCTGATAAAATCCATCAATGGCAAACCAACAGCCAATATCACACTAAATGGTCAAAAACCATGGGCTCGGGGATGTAGCACAGTGCCTGCCTGGCAAGCTCAAGGTCCTGAGTTCAATTCCCTGTACAAAAAAAAAAAACTAAACCAAAAGTTTTCCCTCTATCACCATTCCTGTTCAATAAAGTTCTAGAAACATTAGCCAGAGCAATTAGATAAGAGAAAAAAGTAAAAGAAGGCTAGGAAAATAATTATCATTATTTGCTGATGACATGATACTCTACATAGAAGACCCCAAAAACTCCACCAAAAGACTCCTAGGATAATCAAATTTGGCAGCATAGCAGGACATAGTGTCAACACCAAAAAATCAATAGCATTCCTGTACACAATTAGCAAACTCACTGACAGAGAAATCAGGGAAACAATACTTTTCACAATAACATCACGAACGATGAAATACTTAGGAATCAGTCTAACAAAGGAAGTGGAAGACCTTTACATTGAAGACTACAAGACTTTGAAAAAGAAGACCAAAGAGGCTATCAGAAAAAGAAAAGATACCCTCTATTCTTAGACAGGCAAATATACTGAAAATGGCCGTAGTTCCAAAACTACTATACACATTTAATACAATCCCAATCAAAATATCAATAAATACTTCACAGAACAACCTAAAATTCATATGGAACCAGAAAAGACAACAGCAAAAGCAATTCTGGGCAACAAGGGCAAGGCAGGGGACATCATAATCTCTGATTTTAAATTATACTACAAAGCTACCATGATGAAAAAACAGCATATTGGCAAAAGGGGAAAAAAAAAAAAACAGACCTGAGGATCAATGAAACAGAATAGAAAATACAGACAACTCCAAACACACTCAACAATCTTATCTCTGACAAAGAGGCCAAACACCTTCACTGGAAAAAAGGAATCTCTTTAATAAATAGTGCTGAGAAAACCGGCTTTCAATATGCTAAGCCTGAATCTCTCACCATGCACTAAACTAAAAACGAAATGGATCAAAGATCTAAATATAAAAGCAGAAACAATTTCCTGGAAAACAGAATACACAAAACTCTTGAAGACATAAATATAGGCAACACCTTTATAAACAAAACCCAGCTGCACAGTAAATGTTACAAAGAATCAACAACTGGGATCTCATCATATAAAAAAGCTTTTGCAGCCAGGTGTGGTAGCACATGTCTGTTAATCCCAGCACATTGGAGACTGATGCAGGAGTATCGCTGTGAGGCCAGCATGGGCTACAAGGTGAGTTCAAGGCTAGCCTGAACTACACAGGGAGACCTGTCTCAAAAGGACAATAAAAATAAAAATAAAAGCCAGGCACAGTGGTGCATGCCTGTAATCCCAACATTTGGGAGGCTGAGGCAGAAGAATCACTGAGAGTTTGAGGCCAACCTGGGCTACAAAGTGAGTTTAAGGCCAATTTGAACTACATAGTGAGACCCTGTTTCCAAAAAAAAAAAAAAAAAATTAATATAAAGCTTTTGCACAGCAAAAGAAAACCACCAACTCAGTGAAGAGATAGATCACAAAATGGGAAAGAACTTTTTTTTCTTCTTGAGGCAAAGTTTTGTTACACAGCTCAAACTGGTCTTGAATTGGTCTTGAATTGATGTTGTAGCACAGGCTGGACTCAAACTTCCAGCAATCCTCCTGCCTCGGCCTCCTCAGTTCTTTGATTACAGGCATGTGTCACCATGGCCAGCTGGCAAAAAATCTTTGCCAGCTAACTCCTTAGACAAAGGACTACCTCTAGAATATATAAAGAACTCAAAACTATTAAACCTCTGAAATTTAAAGATCCAAACCAAAAACAAGCATCTAAAATAAATTGACATTTCTCAAATAAAGAAATACAGCCAGAAGCCAGGCATGGTGGTGTATGTCTATAATTCCAGCACTCAGGAGGCTGAGGCCAGGGGGATCACCGAGTTCGAGGCCAGCCTGGGCTACAAAGTGAGTTCAAGGCCAGCCTAAGCAGCATAATGAAACCGTGTGTCAAAAAGACAAAAAGAAGCACAAATAACAAATAAATATATGAAAAAAATATTCAGCATCACTGGTCTTTCAGGAAATGCAGCCAGGGATTTAGCTCAGCAGCACAGGTGCCTATGTAAGTAAAGGTCATAGTTCGATCCCCGGTACCAAAAAAATAAAGAAATACAAACTAGAACAATAAGATTCCATTTTTTACTGCAGAAAGAATGTCTGTCAACAAAAAATTAACAAACAACAAAACTGGTAGGGCTGTGAAGAAAAAGGAACCCTTCTCCCTTGCTGGTGGGAGTGCAAATTGATATAACCACTATGGAAATTAGTATGGAAATTCTTCAAAAGAACTAAAACTAGAGGTTGCATTTGACCCAGCTCTTCCCTTTCTACTTATCTTCCCAAAAGAGCTAAAAGCATCATACCACAGTGCTATATGCATGCCCATGTTCATAGCGGCACAACTCATAATAGCAGTATCTTAGAAACAGCCCACAATGGGGCTGGGGGTTTAGCTCAGCAGCATAAGCCTCTGCCTTGCAAGTGTGCAGTCATGGGTTCGATCCCTGGTACTGATAAAAATGAAAAAGACAGAAAAAAAAAAGAAAAGAAACAGCCTACATGCACATCAATGGATAAATGGATTTTTTAAATGTGATATTTATATACAACGGAGTACTACTCAGTCACAAAGAAGGATAAAGTAAGTGATTTGTAGGGAAATGGAGGGCTGGGGATTTAGCTCAGCCACATAAGCGCCTGCCTGGCAGGCATGAGTTCGATCCCTGGTACCAAAGGAAAAAGAAAAGGATGCATCTTGAAGCAGTAATATTAAGTGAAGTAACTCAGACACAAGTCTAAATATCAAATTATTTCTCTGGTATGAGAAACCCAAAGGGTAAAAAAGGAGCATAAAGAAGGACAGACACTGGGAAGAAGAAAGAACATATTCAAATGGGAAGGGGAATAAGAAAGGTAGCAGGGAAAAGGAAAGAAAGGGAAGAGGGGGAAGAAAAGAGAATGGAAGGCAGAAACTGGAAACAAAGCTTTTGTAAACGTGGATGGGAAGACGAGTTAAGGAGAAGGGAGAGAAATGTGAAAAAAAAGAATTAAAATATCTTATATAAAGGTACAAATACCCTATGATGAACATGATCAATATGTATGACAAATATGTACTAATAAAAAAGCTTTAAAAAAGGTCAAAGTTGTTTTTGGTTTTTCTGTTCTGTGTGTGTGTGCCTGCGTGGTGTGTGGGAGTGTGTGTGTGTGTGTGTGTGTGTGTCCGTGTGTGTGTCTTCCCTTCATCTGTTACCTTTGGCAATCGAGGCACAATGTAGTCATACAAGCAGGGCAATTTAAGACAGCATCACTGTTAGGAACCGGCTGTTGCTGCTGACGTGGTCTCTGTAGTCCAAAACCATGATAGCTAGAACAGAAGAAAGAAAGTGAAAAGAGGAAAAAAACTCATGAAAGTCAAATCTTAAGTTTCTAATGCTACTCTCCAACTCAGGAAAATGACTGCCTAGGAATATGGCATTAAAGATAAACCTGGATTATCTTCTAGTGCCACAAAGCGAGGAAAGTTTTCAGACAAAACAAGTCAAAATGGGATGGAGTCATATGAAACAATTTCTAATGGTTAAAGCTGAAGTAGTTTGAGCAACAATAAAGGGTAAACAGATGAACCTCTCAAACCACAGAACTTCCAAATAACTAAGACTCTCTTTCCTCAAAGTGGTAGAGCGTTAACTGACTCCTCCTAGTCTGGCTGCATGACTTCCTTCACAGAGCAGAATATGCAAGGGGTTGAGGAGGACAACCCTGACAGACATACCTCAACCACTGGTACAGTCACCGCCAACAGTCAAAATCACACAGAGAGCACGTACTCGTGACGATGTAACCAAAACAGCACTCCACTTCTACGCTCTTCCTCTCAACACCTCAAAGAGGCCTGGGACAGCTCAGTGTTCCCTGGGTTCAATGCCCCCACTCCCTCAAAAACAAATCTGCCACATTTCCTGGTTACTTTCAAAACAAACTACTTTCAGCGATTTTTTTTCTTCAAACTTCTTTGTTGATGGATGTGCATATGTCATGAAAACATTTTTCTACCATTTTTTTCTAAAGAAGTCTAAATATTAAGTTTAAATTCTTACCCTCTTCTCTGTGCATCAACCCATGCCTGGTCTCTGTTATCTTTATCAGGATCGTATAGTAATTCATCATTTGTTAGAATTCTGTGTCGTCTCTTCTTTTTCTTCTTTGTTACCTGTGCTAATTTTTAAAAAGGTGAGGCATGTCTCAGTACTGTCTAAAGTTCATATAATCTCTTTAATATAAAAGGAAGCATCTCATTTCCCTAGGTACATTTTTATTCTACAAAAACTGTAAAGCAGCACTTGGGAGGCTTAGACAGGAGAATCATTTGCAAATTCAAGACCAGCCTGGGCTATAAAGTGAGCCCAAGGCCAGCCTGAAATGCACAGCAAGACCCTGTCTCAAAAAGACCAAAAAAAAAAGAAAAGCCATCCTTTTAAAAACAAAGCCAACGGAGTAAGTTCAAGGCCAGCTTAGTCTACATAGTAAGATCCTATCTCAAAAAAAATAAAATAAAAATAGATAAAAACAAAGCCAGGTACAGTGGCTCATACCTAAAATCCCAGGTACTCAGAAGGCTGAGGTAGGAAGATTGCAAGTTTACAGTCAAGCAATTTAGCAAAACCCTGTCTCAAAATTTAAAAGGGGGCGGGGGCGGGGGCTGGGGATTTAGCTCAGTGTCATAAGCGCCTGCCTTGCAAGCAGGCAGTTGTGAGTTGGATCCCCCATACCGACAAAAAGGAAAAAGACAAAAAAAAAAAAAATTTAAAAGGGGGTGTGGAGTGGCACATGTCTGTAATCCCTGCACTTGGGAAGCTGAGGCATTAGTTCAAGGCCAGTCCAACTACAGAGTGAGACTGCACCCCCCCCCCCCCGCAAAAAAAAAGAAAGAAACAAAAGAAAAGAAAAACCAGAGGCTTGGGAGTACAGCTTAATTTTTAAGTTATTTTAAAGGGACCTAAACAAAAAATAAAACACCACAAAACAAGAACGATAATGGCAAAAACAAGACAGTAGGAAATCCACAATAGTTACTTTATTGCCTACTGTCATCCTCTAGACAAATGTTCAGTCTACCAACTTTATGTCTGCAAAGTCAATCAAACAATGCAAGCATTTAGCTCTTTCCTTACTCCAGCTGCTATCATCTCAGTCTGCATTCATTCTTCTGAAAAAACAGTAGCTAACAGGGAAAGGGGTGGGGGCGAAAGACAACTCCTCTCCCCGCCCACACACAGGAGGGTACTGCTGCTTCCTGGTTGTATCCAGCGTTGAGTACAGCTTAATTTAAAGGCCTTGGGTTCAATCCTCAATATCACCAAAAAAACAAGAGGAAGCAGATAAAAACTGCTTCTTCATAAAAACTAGGATCTCAAGAACAAGCTCAAATCAGGAGAATTCACTCTGATAAAGGCTATTCAAGAAAAAAAAGAAATGTTATTGCCATATAACTTCTCTAAAAGTTCCCGTTTATAAAATACTATTGAGATCAGAATAAAAATAGCTTAAAAAAAAAAAAAAAAAAAAAAAAAAACAGATGTTGGGGTAAATGCCTAATCCCAGCTACTCAGAAAGAAGAGGCAGAAGGATCAAAAGGTTCAAACCCAGCTGGGGCAAACTGAAGAGATTCTGACTTAAATAAATTTAACATTTAACCTGCCAATCCTCTCACACACTGTTTTGTGATTTAGCTCCTTATAAACATCTATCAAACTGGACACAAGCACTCTCCAGCGAGGTAGCCCCTAGCTGGATGTGGTTACCATGCACTTTCAGTGTGGCGAGTCTGCACTGAGCTGTGTGTCACATGTGAAATGCACACTAGAGGGCTGGGCCTGGATCTCAGCAGTAGAGAGCTCACCTAGCACGTGCAAGGCCCTGGGTTTGATCCCAACACAGGGAGAGGAGGAGGAGAGAAGCTCCTAGTTTTACTTATTAATCAATTCTGGGTGTTTTTTTTCCCACATCAATGGCCTATAATTGCTTAAAAAAGAAAATTCAGGAGGAATGTCTAACATCTCATTTTTTTTTTTTTTTTTTTGGTAATGGGGATTGAACTCACAACTTTGCACTTGCCAAGGAGGCACTTGTGCCACTGAGCTGTATCCCTGGTCAACATCAAATAACTGTGAGGCAGAATTTTTTCATAGGCCGGGGATTTAGCTCAGCAGCACAAGCACCTGCCCAGCAAGTACAAGGTCATGAGTTTGATCCTCAATACAAAAAAAAAAAAGAACTTTTTCATAAAACGTAGTGCTAAGCTGGGAACAGTGGCACAAACCTGGAATCCCAGTACTTCGGAGTTCACTAAGCTACCCAATAAGTTCAAAACCAGCCCAAACTGCCTAACAAGATCTTGTCTCATATATATTTATATTTATTATATATATTTGTACATAAAATTTATGTGAGTGTAAGCATTAAATCTGGCAAGTATAATACTTACCTGCTTTGTCTTCATCCTCAGAATCAGAATCAAAATATACATCATCATAGTACTTTGCTGGAGCTATTCCCACATTTCCATTTCCTGAGGAAGACCCTATTCAAACCAGAAGGAAAGTTTACAGACTAAAGCACATATAATTAGCAGGAAAAAGAATCTTCCATACACTCTCCCATTAGTTCAGAGTACTACCAACTTAATTCCCATTTGGGATGGTTCAGTATTTTCACATCAGTGACTTACTCAACTCTCACGCCCTATGCAATTAGAGAATGACCCTTCCTTGATTAAGTGTTCCAAATCAGGAGAAAATTCATTCTCCTTTCTCGTAAATCTAATTAAGTAAGAAAGTCATGTTTTCATTTTACAGCATGTGTGTATCTACTTTTCAGCCACACAGTATATTGTGGAAAATGGAATAAACACCTTGTGAGGTTTTTTGTTTGCTTTTTGTCTTTTGAGACACTCTCACTACGTAGCTCAGGCTGGCCTCTAACTCACCATTAGTCCAAGCTGGCCTCAACTCAAGGTGATTGTCCTACCTCAGCCTCCCCAGTGCTGGGACTGTAAGTGTGCACCACCACACCTAGCAGACACTTTGTTGCAAGGGTCCTTCTAGGAAAAAGGCTAAGACCTCTGCAGTACAATAAGGGGGACAAGTCAGGCCATTCTTTCCTGACTCCAAGCACCCAGTGCTAGGCCTTCACTTATACGCATGCCACATGCCTTCATCCCTACATTTCCCTCTGAATATCACCTGTTGTATTACTGTTACAAGTTTTTAGTTCTTGATAGTTAATACACATCATCACAGAACCAGTGCTGAGGTGTCTGACTTTTTACAAACAGTGTTGGGTCAGGTACACTTCACATAAAAGACCAAGTGTTAAAATGAAATGTGCTTAATTACTTACTAAAAATGAGACAGGAATTTGTGAAGATATATCATTAAACCTGCCATCAGTGCCATCTATCACTAAAAATACTTTTATAAGCTTGAGTCTTTTTTGTTAATCCTGAAAAACTATAAAAGGAATTTATGCAAGTAATGCATAGTGGCACATGCCTGTAATCCCAATTTAGGAGGCTGGCACAGGAGAACAGCCCCGAGTTCAAGGCTAGCCTGAACAACAAAGTATGACCCTCTCTCAAAAAACAAAAACCAAAAGAAACTGCAAGTAAACAACACTAACTAGCGTTCCTCCAGCAATACATATTTCCCCACAGTCATCAAAGAAAACCCTAGTTCAGTTGACAAACACATTTACTCCTTCGCTAATGAGTATTTCTTGAACACTGTAGAAAGTGCTAGAGAAACCAAATAGCAAAAATAAAGTTTTTGCCCTTATGGAGTTGTTTATAATATGTAGGGAAACTGAAGCAAAAGGGTACCTGTTCCAAGGGAAGAGAGTTTGTCCTCCATTGTTTTTATGGTGGAATTTAACTCAGCTTCCATTTCTTTTTCAAACTCATCTTCACTAGAGGACTCACTTTCTCCAGTAAGACACTCTCTGATGAGTTTTCGTTTCTGGTCAGGGGTTCCATGTAAAAGCACATCCACTTCATCTTCAGAGCTAGCATACATTTAAATTAGAAAGAACATTAATATTAAAAAGTATAGCGATGCCTGTAATCCCAGCACCAGAGAGGTTGAGGCAGGAAGATCACCATGAGTTCAAGGCTATCGTGCACTACAAAGGGAGAACCTGTCTCAAAAAGAAAAACAAATTGTTTTAAAGTTATTTGGAGAGCTGGGGATTTGGCTCAGTGGCATAAGTACCTGTCTGGCAAGAATAAGATCGTGAGTTCAATCCCCCATACCATAACAAAAAAGTTGGAAAAAAAATTAGCTGGACTAATACTTATGAACAGGTACAAAAGATAAAGCCCTTTTGCAATCAAGAATTCACTGTTCAGCATGAGTTTTGATACATATAAAAAAAAAAAAAAAAAAAAAGAGTGTATGGACCAGGCACAGTATGCATGCCCATGATCCTGGCACTCCTGAGGCTAAGGCAGGAGGAACAGAAATTTGAGCACAGCCTGAATTACATGCTGAGACTCAACCACCAAAAATAAAAAAATGAAAATATGATACTTAATACAGAGTAAAGTAATGGGGTGTTGATCATCATGAAGGCTGATCCTAAGATTAAACAGTTAATAGTTAGAAAGCACAGAATATAAGAAAATCTCAGCTCTATTGAGTATTCCTAGTTTCATGCTGTGACACATGAAGCCTGCTTTTATTCCCCTCTTTCTTACAGGCCTGTCTTGAGAACATGAGGTCTAGAGTTGAAGACAATGTCTTACTGCATGTGACTATTTGGATTGTTTGTTCAAATATAGTAGTAAGTAGTACACAACCAGATTAGGTTATTTTAAAAAAAACTAATTAGGCTGGGTATTGTGGTACATGCCTAATTCCAGCACTTGGGAGGCTGAAACAGGAGAACTGCTATGAGTTTGAAGCCAGCCTGAGCTACAAAGAGAATTCAGGGTCAGCCTAAATAATAATAAGACCCTGTCTCCAAAAAAAAAAAAAAAAAAAAAAAAAAACTAATTAGCTAGGCATGGTGTTACATCCCTATACCCAGTTCCTTGGAAGGCCGAGACAAAAGGATTAGAGGCTTAAAGCCTCTCTGGGCAATTTACCAAGCCTTTGTCTCAAAACTTTTAAAACGTGGGGTTAAGGATGCATTTCAATGCTAGAAGGCTTGCCAAGCATGCGTAGGGCCCTGGGTTCAACCCCGGTATGTAATAAAACAAAAATCACAGGGCTGGGAGTTTAGCTCAGCAAGCTTGCCTGCTTGGCAAGCACAAAGATGTGAGTTCAATCCCAGTACCAAAAAAAAAAAAAAAAAAAAAAAAAAAAAAAAAAAAAATCACTTAAAATTCCCATGATCTCACTGATCAATAATGTTAAGCTCTACAAAGCTGCATTTGATATATTATGGGAATTCTTAACATACTAATTCTGCATATTTCCAAATGCATGTAAATATACACTTACGCATTTACTTAGATGGAGCTTTACTATACACCCAAACTGACCTTAAACTTACGGACTCAAGTGATCCTCCTGCCTCAGCCCTTCGAGGACCTGAGACTACAGGCATACCAGGCTTCAAACATGTATATATTAATTTGTTTGTTAGGCACAACTATTGAAGAGCAACAAGTGGTAGTGGCATGTTCTGTATCATGACTATAATGTCCTTTTTTGTTTTGTTTTTTGAGACAGGATCTTGCTATGTAGTTCAAGCTGGCCTTGAACTCACCATGTAGCCCAGCTAGCCTCAAATTCACAGCATCCTCCTGCCTCAGTCTCCTAAGTACTAGGATTACAGGTATGCAAAACTATGCCCAGATGATGTCCATATTCTGGCTAAGATATCACACTATGGTTTTCTAGTATGTTAGTATTTGTTATTAGTATGTTAGTATTTGGTAAAGGGTACAACAGAATATTATTTCTTACAACTGGATGTGAAACAATTATTCCAAAATAAAGTTTAAAAAAATTGAATCATATAGTAAGAGAATTATTCTTTTTGCAAACCCTCTGCAATCCTTATGATTACTGCCAAGACAAGCTCAATCTTTAGCACTGCTGGGAGAGGCAAAACAAAATCTCATGAGGTCATAGGTTTTTTGGAGGTGGCTGAATCTAAAGTATATCATTGATTTGTAGTGCCATGCTGGGATTAAGAGTGCTGGAATTAAGGGTGGGTGCTGGATCAGTCCACTGATTGGCTTGGTACCCTGTTATGGTTGATACATTGTATCAATTTGAGAAGTTTAAAAGTTTAACTGACAGACTCAGCACACAGCTAGATACTTTGTAAATCTCCTCATCCTCTGCAAAAGGAGAGCACAGAGATTTTAAGTGCTACATCTTCTGTGGAAAGGTAGGATGGCCTGTGTATAATATAAGGGAGGAGAAGAGGCTTGTTGCCCCCTTCTGCTCTAACTGCTGCACTTAAGTGTTGCCCCAGTGCCATGCCACCCTGCCTTGGAGCCAGCTGATTATGGACTGAAACCACAAACAGTGAGCTGAATAATCCTTTCCTTCCTTCATATTGGGTATTGGGTGTTTTGTCCCAGCAAGGAGAGAAAAGCAACCAAGACACACCGCCTAATCCCAGTAGACTAGATGCAACATAAAGAGACAGAAAGATACTTGTCACTCTCTTGTTGCTTTTGCTGTCTTCTGCAGCTATGAAGTGTTGCCCTTCTGTCATGTGCCATACTACCTTGCAGCCAGTCAATTATGGACTGAAGCCTCTCCAAACCATGAGCTAAATAAACCTGTCCTCCCTTAACTTGGGGCAACAAGTAAATAAGACAGATGTATTGATCAGTATAATCAAATCCCGATCAATAGACACTTTTACCAATCTGTTTTGGTTTAGTTTGATTTTTTTTGAGCCTGAGTCTCAATATGTTGCCCAAACTGACCTTGAACTTGGAATTCTCCATTCTCAGCCTCCTGGAATTAACATTAATAGCAAATGTTGGGGTCAGAACATTCAGCAGGCATACTAACATCATCATTTTGTTTTGAAAACAGCAGACATCCTGTTTAATATAATTTTGTTTTCAAAGTAGTTAACAGTCACCATGGCAACTATCATAGGATTATAGTTTCCTAAAAGGAATGTAATTGCAAAACTGTAAACTTAATTAAGAAAATAATTTAATATCAAGGTCTATGTGCAGATGCTAATAGAATAACTGAAATCCAGGAAATCCTGCTACAGTATATTTCAATCAAACTGAATTATTGATGCCATGTACTTTTCACAGATAGGGCTCATTAACCGAGATTTTTTCACAGGGCTTTTTTTTAGAGACAGGGTCTCATCAGGTAGTTCATGCCAGCCTGTACCACTATGTAGTCCAGGCTGGCCTTTAACTCTTTGTGATCCTCCTGCCTCAGCCTCCCAAGTGCTTGGATTACAGGCATATATCACCACCCACAGCATTTTCACAAGAAATTCTAATATCCATCTTCACTGTTTACAACGGAAATATTCACAGCACTGTGATCTTCCACGCCTATAACCTTACCCCAGGACAATTGGGAAACACTGCAACTGAATAAACTACAACTTCACAGAAAGTTTCATGAGACAAATTAATGTTTTAAAGTTTATGGGTGGGGACTGAGGCAGAAAAAGGATTGCTCAGAGTTTGAGGACAGCTGCTCTACACGGCAAGACTATGCCTCAAAGTAGTTTATGGATGCGACCTATAGACTGCTAAAGAAGTAGCTAAATGTGCCTGGAAATCTCTTGGCAAGAGAATTTCAAGTTTCCTTCAGGTAAGAAAAAACCTGCCCTGCATGCCTGTAATACCAGCACTAGAGCAGCTGAGGCACGATGGTTGCCGAGACCAGCCTGGACTATAAACTGAGCTCAAGGCCAGCCTGAAAAAGACAAAAAAAAAAAAAAAATCTTCCCTGCCGGAAATTTCCACCCGAGCCTATGTCAGGCCACCATCTTCTACAAGATACAAATTTACCTTATTTCCCTTATTCTAATATAAACCTGTGAAAGCCAAGGATTTTACGATTGATCTCTGCAACCCAGAGCAAACATACAGTGGTCAGGAACGCCTGTCCAATATCCTCATATTCCTGGTTGACAATTAGAGTGTTTGCCAGACATGTGAGGCCCTAGGATCCAAGTCCAGCACCGCCAAAACAAAAACTTCACATTAAATTCTGTGGCCATCACAATAAACCTGCAGGATATCTCCATACTTATGTTTCCACTCTACAGATGAGAAACAGGATAGGTGACTTGCTTTCGGTCACACTGCTAGGAAGCCGCAGAGACAGGATTGGATTTCCAGGCCTCTGGAGATTCATGAGCCGCCCTCTGCGATTCCAGGAGAGCCCTCTTGCCCGCTGAAGCCGGACCCCTCTCCTAAAAGGCTCTGGGACCCCACCAGCATGCCTTCGGCGTCCCACGGGCGACAGTGGGTGCGACACAGCCCAAACCGCCGGCCGACAAAGCGAGACGCGGCGGCCGAAGGCCAGGCCTTAGCACAAAGCCTTGGGGAGCCGCGGCGGGGCACACCTGCTCAAAGCTGGCTCCTCGTCGCTAGGCTCTTCAACTGCATAGGGGTCGTAGTCATCCTGGAGCCGGCTCATGGCGTCCGGGAGAGGCCTACAAAAACTCACGCACCACTCTGTTTCTGTTTACTCTGCAGTTACCGCCCCTAACAGGGCCCCGCTCCACTTCCGCGCGCACTTCCGGTTCCTCCTGGCGCGCCTGCGCACTGTCCTATTGCGGAGGGCGGCCGGAAGAAGGGCAGCAGGAAGATGGGCGGGACGGGGCAGGAAGATGGGCGGGGCGGGAGAGGAGAGGGGGAAAGGAGAAAGGCGGCGACCCTTCCCAGCCCCTCGAGTGCTTTTCGCAGCTCTGCTTTCGTGAAAACCTTACTGAAAGAAGATAATGGTACCGTCATAAGTGCCAGTCTCTGGGATGAAAACTACGTTAATTGTCTCCTGGGACCTACGAGGCAGAACCCTGCTGAGAAACTCCTAGTCTGAGATCCGTTCGATTCCCAAACTCGACATCCCGGTGCCTCCCGCTCTGCCCTGTCTCTCACCGTTCATTCTCATCACTTCCCTCCCCCCCTCTCTCTTGCAGTACTGGGATTCGTTTCAGGGAACCCTGAGTGTCCCAAGCTTTTTTATTCATTTTGAGACAACAGAGTCTCGCTAAATTACCCAGACTACACTCTTATTTGTGGTCTTCTGTCTCAGCCTCCTGAGTAGCTCGGATTATAGAATTACACTACGCCCAGTTACATAGCTGTCTTTCTGATATTTGTCCTGTTTGCTAGAAGTTGCCTTTTCTTGGCCTCTTCTCAGTCCCTTGCTCAGCCCTCACTTTATTCTGCTCCTATGTCATGTACAACTATGATCAAATCAGTCCCTCATGCTTAACACTTGCTAACTTGTTATCTGGCATATTGGTGCCAGCTGTGACCTTTCATGATAGGCAGGAGGGGAACTACCCCTCCCCAAACCTATGAGACACTCCTGAGTCACAGTGGAAGATGCCTATTGAGAAACCAGTTTTCCCTTCCTGGGAATTGTGGCTCATCTCAGGATTAGGCCCTTATATCCATGTTCATAATGCTCCACAAAACAGAAAGCCAATTACCTTCTTATTTCCATGAATATAAAACCAAGAAATTCTAAGGCGCTGGCAGTAGTCCCAGGCCCTGTACGAACCAAGTGCACTAGGGGACTGAGACCGCCTTCCTGCTTCAGGTTCTCTGTGCTATTGCAGCTAGCAGAGGGAAACTGGATGCAGCACACAGAAGCAAGATTTCCCTTGGCCCCCTTTCCCAAAGTCTTAAATCCTCGACTTTCTTTTCTCTCTAACTCATGTCTCTTTGCTCATTCCTCCCTTCCTTCTACTCCATATTGCTTGCTTGCTTACTCTTTTTCTGCCTATTCCACTGCACTGTTGTGCCACAAAAAGCACCACCTCAGGACCAGGGATTTAGCTCAGTGACATAAACACTTGCCTGGCAAGTACAAAGTCATGAGTTTGATCCCTGGTACAAAAAAAAAAAAAAAAACCCTCCAAATTTAAGGACTTTGAAATTATTTCTTATGCTTCTAAATCTGCAATTTTGGCAGAGACTGCTCTGCTCCTTGATATGTGAAGCTGGAGACGGAAACTTGTTTCAGGTATGTTTGGAGAAAATCCTTGTGCTTCCTCCTGTATGGCCACTACGCATGCAAAGGCACCAGGCTTCTAGACCTCAGCCTCCCTAAAAATGTGCAGGTGATTCTCGAACCCAGTTGTAGGACACAAGGTTTCCTGTGGCCTGGATGCACAGGCTCCTGGACATCACTTCTATCACATTTCATCAGTCAAGGTAGTCATTAAGGCCAACCCAGATTCAAGGGCAGGGAATTCAACTCCATTTCTCAACTGGAAGAGTAGAGGTCTAAAAGTTCTGTTTGCTGTCAAAAGAAATTGTGGCTGGGTGGGGTGGTGCATATTTGCAATCCCAGCACACAGGATGCTGGGGAAGTTGGATCCTGTTCGTGCAACCTGGCTATCTAGCAGTAATCTGCCAGAGGAGGAAAAAAATGGTGACTGACTCAGCATCTAGACACAAGTGAAGGTTGGACAGATTACAAGGAATACTTCAGGTATTGTGGGTTGACTATAAAACACAAATGCATATTTACAAATTTTTCAAGCATTTTAAATACTTTTCCAGTGATGTGCATAGTGGATGAAATTTGTACTTACACCTGATATTTTCGTGTGTGTGTGTATGTGTGTGTGTGTGCGCGCCCGCGCGCACACGCTTGAGACAGGGTGTCCCTATGTAGTTTGGGCTGCCCTCGAGCTCACTTTGTAGCCCAGACTGGCCTTGAATTTGCAATGATCCTCCAGCCTCCATCTTCCAAGTGCTGAGATTATAGGCATAAGCCACCAAGCCTGGCTCAAAATCTTGATTTTTAAAACAATTTCCCAGGTGTAAATGTTGAATATATTAAAGCTTTTGTTTTGTTTTGTTTTGGCAGGGTCACGCTATATAATTAATGCTGGCTTCAAACTTGAAGCAATCTTTCTGCTTTAGCCTCCTCAGTGCTGATGTATACCCACCTGTGGAAGCAATTTATGACAGGCCCACTCAGAAAGACCCTAGAGAAAACCGATTTTCTTTTTCTTTTGTTTTTTTCTTTTTTCTTTTTCCTTTTTATCGCTACCAGGGACCGAACTCACGACTGCCTGCTTGCAAGGCAGGAGCTTATGCCGCTGAGCTAAATCCCCAGCCCCGAAAAACCGATATTCTTTTAAGTGACATAAACCTTAGTATTTAATGTTTGACTGAGGAAAAAAAGAGAACTCATTGTAACACAAGTGTCCTCTAAGGATGAGTTGTACCACAACATAATAGACTGAAACTTCCCTCTCTAAAACAGTGAGGCAAACCCGGCCCATAAGCCCGCTCTGTCAGAGAACATGGGGGAGAGAGGACAAAACACAACCCCGTCTTTTGGCAACCCCGCTTCAATCGAGAACAGACAAAGAGCTTCCACATACTCCTGTCAAGTTTTGAAGCCGCCTCCATCCAGTCCAGTGCCTTGGCAGGCGGAAGGGGCGTACTCTACTTCCGTGACGTCAGAGACAGGGTGTGGCTCATGTAGATTAGAAAACCCGCAAAGGATGCCGGTCCTTCTCAGGTTGAGCGGTCACGTTGCGAGTTGGCAACAGCTGAATGGCACCGAGTGGTTTTCTGTGACAAGAGACGGGATAGAGGAGTCTGGGGGGAATGGGTGAGGGTCCTCCATTCCCGGTGAGGCAGGTCACCGTGACCGCAGAGTAGGTCGCATTCCAGGGTGTGGGTAAAGGCGAGCGCAGCAGCTCATACTTACCTGGCAGGGGAGATACCATGATCACAAAGGTGGTTTTCCCAGGGCGAGGCTTATCCATTGCACTCCGGATGTGCTGACCCCTGCGATTTCCCCAAATGCGGGAAACTCGACTGCATAATTTGTGGTAGTGGGGGACTGCGTTCGCGCTCTCCCCTGATGACCTGTGTCAAAAAGTCAGACGTTGTGCTTTCCGCCACCCACCACCGAGGTCACTCACCCCACAGACGTGGCTAGGGCAGGGCAAGTGCGACGGTGCGCCTGTCGGGGCTCGCAGCGACACAAAGCAGGAGACATACGCACCTTGGGAGCTGCGCAGAGTAGGAAGCTTCCCACGACGTGCGCGTCGACACGGTAACCCCCGCACGGAACCGCTTTGGAGGAACGCGTTTCCGGACGCGGCACCGCTTTGGAGGAACGCGTTTCCGGACGCGGCCACCGGAGAGTTTACTATCTCTCTGTAGAAACAAGGGGGAAGCGTGCTGTTGTTGTCCTCTTCACGCTACGGGTTTTTCTTCCTTAGCTTACACATGCTGGTTTCAGAAAAAGCGCATCTTATTGGTGCTGTGTAGGGTTCTTTCACAAAGGAAGCTCTCTCGCTGTGTATTTGGGGGACTGGTTTCTTGAGATGAAGTCTCACCATGTAACCTACGGCAGTTCAAGACGCACGGTGGCACTATTTGACATGCCACCACATACCACTCAGGATCTTGGCTGCTTCCTTTAGACACACACTCATTATGTAAACCAGGCTGGTTTTCAAGGTTGCGACATTGCCGAGTAGCATAGCCTCACACTCTGACCAGGCTTGTTTCAGCAATGTTCCCAGACCCTGTGTTTTTCGAAATAGGGTCTTCATAAACTGCCGAACTGCCCGGGATTGGCCTCTTAACTTGCAATCTTCCTCGGGCTCCCAGACTTGAGCAAAGCTTCAAGAGCTTTTTTTCATCTATGAAGATCGTTCCAACACAGAATGGTGTCAGGAAATGCTGCTTATATTTTTCTATCTTCAACTCTAATAGTGACTCTGATAGGAATTCTAGAGCCTACATGACTCATGGTTAATATTGTAATACTGGAGAGCCGGGCGCGGTGGCTCACGCCTGTAGCCTGTAATCCCAGCACTCGGGAGGAGGCTGAGGTAGGAGGATCATTGCGAGTTCGAGACCAGCTTAGGCTACAAAGTGAGCTGAAGGCCAGCCTGAACTGCCTATCCACACACCCTGTCTCAAAAAGACCAAAAAAAAAAAAAAAAAAAAAAAAAAATTAATACTGGAGAAAGTGGTTCCTCCACCTAGTATTCCAAATGGGTCTCTTAACCATCTTATGCCACGAGACCTCACTGAGCCATTCAAATTGTGAACCGCCAGAGCATTCTTAATATAAAGAACGCTGGAGAAAATAAAATCTCAAAGAGCATGGAGACACACACCTCTAGGCCCAGCACTCTGGGAGGCTGAGGAAGAAAGATCCCAAGTTAAAGAGTCCAACCTGGGCACTTTAGCGCTCAATCAAGGCCCTATTTCCAGAGGACCGCCTCACCTTCTTGGACATCTTCCCGGCCATCATCGTGTTCCCCTTTGCCTTGAGGAAGAAGAGATGTCCCAAGGGTGGCCCATGCCCTTCACCTAACAGAGCACACCAGGCTTCCTGAGGGCTAGCTCTCTTTTCTAATGTAAATGCCGTGTACAGCAGTGCTTTGAGGTTTTTGTTTTCTGTGTGCACAGTGGTTTTATCTGCCCAAGCTTCAGGACTGCTCCTAACGCAAGGTGGGATAGCTTTGGTATGTGCCAGACTAGGTCTCAGCAACACTGCTCTCTCCAGGTGAACGCTCAAGAAAGCACTGCTTCTTTGGGTTTTTGGTTTTGTTTC